TGCCCCTACCCGCGCCGGGTGAAGCTCCCTGGGAAGTGCTGCGAGGAGTGGGTCTGCGATGAGGCCAAAGAGCAGACGGCCGTGGGACCCGCTCTCGCTGGTGAGTGGGGGTCCCTCTGCAGATGGCAGCCCCGGGTGGGGGGGGGGGGACACCCTGCATGGAGGTTGGAGGCAGCGGGGTGGGTGGCTGCAGGGCACCCTGGCAGCTGGAGTGCGGCGGTTAGTGGGGTCACCCCAGGGATAAGCGTGGCTGCATGAATTCCTAAGGGAAGAGAGCCTCTAGCAGGGCATGAGGTCAGACGGCAGTCTCATCCCGGTTGCCTGTCCCTTGCAGCTTACAGACTGGAAGATACGTACGGTCCAGACCCGACAATGATGCGCGCCAACTGTCTGGTGCAGACCACTGAATGGAGTGCTTGCTCCAAGACCTGTGGCATGGGCATCTCAACCAGGGTTACCAACGATAATGCCTTCTGCCGACTGGAGAAACAGAGCAGGCTGTGCATGGTCAGACCTTGTGAAGCAGACTTGGAGGAGAACATCAAGGTAAATAATCTGATCTTTTATGTATGACCTGCTGGGGTGCTTCCGTCCACTAGCAAAGCCCAGTGTCTCACTGAAAAACGTGTTTTCTGACACATAGTCAGTTTCAAGCAGTTTACCTTGAAATTTCAGTCTTGCCCCAGCAGCGAACAGTTTACAGTTAAATGCCCTCAATTTTCTCTTCACCCTGTATCATGGCATCATCTGAGACACTCTTGCTTAATGAAAGTACAGTAAGGATTAGCGTGTCCGCTTGCCCTTAGCTTGTAAACTTAGTGCTGTGTGAAAGCCTGCTTTCTAAACACTTTGCGTTCACTTCTATCCTAACAGAAAGGCAAAAAGTGCATTCGCACCCCCAAAATCTCCAAGCCCGTCAAGTTTGAGCTGTCTGGCTGCACCAGCGTGAAGACCTACAGAGCTAAGTTCTGTGGTGTCTGCACTGATGGGCGCTGCTGCACACCCCACAGAACGGCCACCCTCCCCGTGGAGTTCAAGTGCCCCGACGGGGAGATCATGAAGAGGAAAATGATGTTCATCAAGACCTGCGCCTGCCACTACAACTGCCCTGGAGACAATGACATCTTTGAGTCTCTGTACTACAGGAAGATGTATGGAGACATGGCGTAAAGCCAGAAGGAGACGCTAACTAGATTCTCAACTTGAACTGATTTGCATCTCATTTTGTAAACATGATTCAATAGCACAAGGTATTTAAATCAGTTTTTTTTTTTTTAATTTCAACAAACTGCTCCATGTGACTTAAGACAATTTTTCTACTGACCCCGAATGGTGGTTTGAAGAAGATGGTAAAATGGACAGTGGGACCGCAGCAAGACACAGCTTCAGAACACGCTGTTTGTGAGGTGGTGTGAAGGGGTTAAGGGAAATAGGCAGGAAGAGAGTTCCCTTAATGTGGTACAGCGTGCTTCCTCTAGTAGTGCAATTGAGAAGGAGACCCTTAGCAGTGTTTGCTGGCGCTGGTTTAGTGACAGCAACAGCTGGAATGCAAACCAGCAGAGTGCTAAGCAGAAGGTGTTCTGTTAGTCAGGACAGTAACGTTTCAGCTCTGACACTCTGATTCGTATGGCTTGGTCAACAAGAATCAGAATCATGTCTATTAGACTGGACAGCTTGTGGCAGTTAATTTACCTGTAACAAGCTACTTTTTATTAATATTGTAAATACTGTGTGTATATATATTTGTACAGTTATCTAAATTAATTTAAAGTTTTGTGCCTTTGTTTAATGCTTTGAAATTTCAATGATAGCCGCCTTTTTTTTTGGAACAGGATAGGTAGGACTTAAAGCTTGTCTGACAATGCATTCAAAGTATGAAATAGATACTCCAGTGGAAATGGTTCAGATAGGGCCAAATGGTGAGTCAAGAGCAAGATGGAGAGTGTTAGAGTTGAGGTGCCTGTATCCTTACAAAGCTTTCATCTGGCAAAATACATGTATTGGACAAGTGGCTTTAAGAAAAATGGCTCCTCTGTAGCTCATCAGTCTTTCCACTCGAGCATTTGTTTCTTTCTTTGACTATGGCTCTTTTTGGACAGTTTATTTGTTGAGAAGTGTGACCAAAAGTTACATGTTTGCACCTTTTTAGTTGAAAATAAAGTATTTATATTTTTTATATAAATGGCTTGGTATTTCATTTACCTTTAGTCTCCACTGGTACTTTACATGTTCTTAAAAGGGCTTGGCTTGGCACTAGTAATGCATGGTGGGATTTTTTTGTCAAGATGCACACACACTTATGAATAAGCTAATGATTTATGGTTACTTACTCTACTAGTGAAATGACTGTAGTTGGTTACTCTTCTGAATTTAGGCTGGAGGGCAGGGCTAGGCTTGCTTTGCCAAGCCCCGTATCACATTGGGAAAGCACAGCAGGTTCCTCGTGCACCACATGTGGTGGCTTTGAAATGAGGCAGCTGGTCATAGTATTTGGCTCCTGCTGTAATACACCATGCAACATGCTTAATCATGTTGGGGTGTTCCACTGGTCAAGATTTGCTTTCACCTAAGGAAAAGAAAGTGGGATTTTTTTCAAGTAATCTGCATTGCAGTGGTTCCTGACTCTAAAGCCAAACCCAGAAGTCCAAAATTTGGTACAATTCTCAGTAAAGAGCTAATCATAGAATAATACAGGTTGGAAGGGGCCTCCTAAGACCTCCTGATTTAACCTTCATGCGGATCAGGGCTAACGTGGATGTGGTTTTACTTAAATGGAGACAGCACTGAACGCGGATGGCAAACACGTGGGTTATCTTCCTGCTTGATGACTGGGGGCAAATCATTTTATGTGACAGTACTGTCCATAAAGAATCCATTGATTCAAACTCTTGCAGGCCCACAGATGAGAAGTGTTGTAAGAGCTACGCACTTTGGTAATCGTTCAAACATCCTCCTCAGATAAGCAAAAAACAGTGTAAAGACAGTTGTGAGTCACTTCCCTCCTACCCCTAGAGCTAAAAGGAAAGCTTCAGTCCTGTGCTAGGTTCTACATTAATAACAGACTTTTGTCCCTTTATTTAGATGAGGGGGTTCTTTGAATTTAAAATTAACCTTTGCACTAGAAGCATTAGTTCTTGTTTTCAGAAAAAACACGTACTCTCCAACAAGAATCCTTTTCAGGCAAACAAGTTCAAACTGGAATTTCCTGATGGGGAAAGAAAAAAATCCATCCCTCCTGAGCACCTTCCAATCCCATTGATTTCAGCTAGCATTAGTGGCAAATCGGTGTAACACCAGCTTTGACTAATGATGGACAATAGAGCCCTAAACTAATGGGAAGTCAACGGGAGCCGTGCCAGTGGCCTCACCAGGCTTTGCACAAGGCCGTAGAAGCATTTCCCCTTCCTCTAAAAAATACAAGGAATTCTGGCATGAGGAAGTGGGTTTCTGTGCCCCATATGACATAGTTTTGGGTAGCCTCTGGCTCTTACACTGACTGAGACTCTCCAGCATTTTTTCTCTCTTTTTTTTCAGGTTATGAATGTGATGCAGCCGTTCAGCTCACTCTGGAAACACTTCAAACGCTCGTACAACCACAAGGACTGGTTGTCCAACCGCTGCTGTGGCTCCACCCCCAGATAACAAGGAAACTGTCATTTCTAGTTCCAGCAAGGACAGACCGTACGTGGGCTTCATTCATAGCCATCGCTATAGAAGTTCTCAGGATCAGAACAGACAGAAGCACAATAATATACCTGGCAGGTTGGGATTAATGCCCTTAAGAGATGGGGGGTTTATGATGCTGCTCAAGCTGATTCATTAACAACTCTGCCCTGTGTTCTTTTACAGATTGATAGCAGACATTATAATGGATGGCCATTCCTTATAGCACTGACCTCTTGAGCCTCATGTCCGGCTCATGGGATTCACTCAGGTTCTGCTCCCAGTTTTCTGCAGCGTGGGCTGTATCTCAGCCCCTAAACTGCGTGGCACTGTGTCTCCCCTGGTCCTGTCCACCAGCTGTGCCTGGCATAAAGGGCTGCAGAGACAGAGAGTGGCAGCAGTGCTCTAGTTTAGGAAGGGCCATCTGTAATTAAACACCCACAAAGGAGCTCCACCAAAACAGGTCAGGACCGCAGCCTGTCCTCTGTCTGGTAATGCAATGATGCAGCTGCTTTGACTGCCATCTGACAGATTATCACACTGCTTCACAGGCCAGTGGAGAAGGATGGAAGAGGCCTCCTGTCAGAGTATTTTAACGGTGGCTTGCTTTTCTCACCGTGAATTAAAATACAGAAGTATGCTGCATATGCAAATCTGTTCAGTAAGTTGTTGCTCTCCCCTGACCATGTCAAGGATCATAAATCTCAGCTATCACTTCATTATAATGATTTGCCTTCCTGTTTTTTTCCAGGAACAACTGTAGTCTTCTGACAAAAGCATGTGTTTTACACCATCTCACAGGTTTTAGGCCTCTGAAGGTTTTATCTCTGAAGGTAAAGAAATTTAAATACTTTGTTATAAGTTCTCCTAGAGGTGTTAGTCAGCATCATACTGTTTGTAAGACTTTTTTCCAAAGGTATCCTGGGAAAAAGGAGCCCTTGTGTGGAATTTATGGCATCTTAAATGGTGGTTAAAATGGGAGTCTTTCAACCATAAAGTTGTTTCCTGATTTCATTCTTTGTGCCTAAGATGCATAAATGCAAGAATAAAAACCCAAGTTCACAAGTCCAAAGTCAGTTACATGGGAGAGAACATTGGTTCACATTCCTTCCAAAATACCTTGTCTTGGAAGTTTGCTTCTGGGTGTTTGCATCCTCAGAAAATCCTATAGTGCAGGTTTGCTGCTGTACTTTTAAAACACTTTACTGCTATATGAAAGTATATTCATTTAAGTGACTAGCTCCTTGAAATGTATATCTCCAGCAATATTAATTACACAGTTGGTAAAGGACCGCTATAAAGTCAATAGTCATTTAATAAATGATACTCAATTAATCATTAAACAGGAATTCAAGGTGGCTGGAGACCAGAGTATCAAACAATTTGTGAAATAACTCTAAGCCTTCGTATTTCAGATTTTTGTACCATAACACTTTTGCATGGATTTGCAGCTTAGCTTTCTAACACAATACAGATGTGAACAACAGACACGGATTATAGCCCTTTCATATGAAATAGGCTCTACGCTCCAGATGGAAATTTGTCAGATTCCTCAGAGCTAAGAAACATCCAAAAGACACTAGTTAAGAAACTCTTCAAGAATGAGCCGCTTTTAATGATCCGTAACCACACAGGAACAAATAAGTCTTTGAACGGTATCCAGTTGTTTGTCTCACAAAGACTCAGCTGAGAAAACTGACTTTTGGACACCACCAGAAATAGCATACTCTTAACTAGATCATTTGGATTTTCCTCATGTAGCATAGCTCTTTTAGACATCGCACTTGAAGAAAGCACTCATACCATTACGCTGAAAAGGACATCAACTGTGAGAAGGAGCAGTAATATTCTTACCTAAACATATAATTCAACCATTCTGACTTTGCATCCTACCACCAAAAAGAAAAGTTCTTTGAAAACAGTGCTTAAATGTGGCTTTAACTGAAGTTATACTATGCCTACATATGGAAGCAGTTAGCAAGGAGAAGCTGGGATGAAATACCAGTGTAAGGCTTTGCCCAAAACCCAAGAAGAATCTGAGAGAGGAAGTAGCTCAGTTAACTTATTTTTCCTCTCATTTTCCACTTTTTTTCCTCCCTGCAGTTCCTTTGATTCATGCCCATAAATGGACATACCAAAAGCCATCACATTCTCACAGTGTTTTTCAGCCTGCCTGGAACCAGGAAATACCAGGAATTTCTTCAAGGAACCTGCTCCCAAACTGTACTAAAGCCTTCAACACATTTAGCGTTCAAACAGAGTTTGGAAGCATGACTAAGGTTCCATCTCCACTTCACAATCCAGCATTGCTCCTGCATCAGAGGACAACTGCTGGCAGTCACTACCTCTAGCCCTGGCCTTTTCAGCTCTCCTCTCTGCTGGTGCGAGCCCACAACCCCCCCCCCTCAGCAGGGAGTTTGAGACGATTCTGCAAAGTCCCCCCAGCAACCTCTGACTGGGTCCTGTGGCAGCGTTCCTCAGCTCCTGGCTGTTATTGGGGCAGTGCCAAAGGCAGGAGTATTTAGGTTTGCTTAAATGGTAAGTAGATCCACCCCTAATAGTAGTATAATAGTGTTTATGCTGTGAGGAACAAAGCATTTCACAGCCTGGCGAGCAGGACCAAAAGGTTGCTAACGCGGTGCTGCAGTGTAAACACAATCCAGTGGTGCCTCCATTCATTGTTCAGCCCCGTTAATTGGGCCACTGAAAGAAATGCACAATCCAATGAAATGTTTGTTGTTTTAAATTAGGCCTATTAAAAGCAGGTATTTAACAGCTTTCAGCAGCTACGAAATATGTTTTTCCTGCTCCTGAGCTAAATGCTAAGAACCAACTTTTCAGAACTTCGGTCAGCCTAGCTAATTGACATAACTGCAGTCCTGCTGGCTGAGACCTCCTGTGGCCCAAAGTCCTGAGGCTGTACGAAGTTAGGGGAACTGCACGGGGCTGTGTGCCTGGGAGGGCTCCCAGGGGGACACAGGCTGGCTCTTGTGGCATTTGCTAGCCAATAAGCACTTGCAGGAGGACAAATTGCACAAGGAAGTCTTCTGTAAACAGCTAAAAGTCCAGCCTACTAGGGGAGTGATATACCACTGTATCTGGTAAATGAATGTGTTTGTTGGACAAGGATTCAAAACAGACCTGAAATACTGTTCAAGCTTTAGAAAAATTAACATCTGGGAATGGTATGGTGTTAATTATGCTTTCTTAACTACATATTTCTTAAATCATGCAATTTTTAAAAGATTCTTTATGCTTAACCAAAGGAGACATTTGATGTCTTCTGATGAGAGATCTGGCACTTAGTGATCTGGCACAACACCATGCTCTGAAGGAACTTACTTACCCCTAAGTCTCAGGCTTTGGTTACGCCACATGCACCGAGGAATTCACTGATCCAAGAACAGGTACAGCCCATCCGGTGTCTGTACCGGCCCTCTGCCATCACACAGTTCCAGTCCCAAGTGGAGACCCTGGCAGGAGGAGAGGATTGGTAAAACAACAGAAAAGAGATCAACT